ACCAGACTCAGAGGTTCACTCTGCCTTACATAGATGCTTCCTACACCCTTGGGAGGGTGGGGAAAAGGACTGTTCATACCACAGAAGATAAACTTCTATAAGCCAGAACCTAAAATTCTCCAAAACATACAAATTGGCTGTCAGGGATCATATACGTTTATAAATAAAAACAAGGAATACCATTAATTCTTGTCTGTAGCTGCAGAGATTGAACATGATGCAGCAGTTCTGAGGCAAGAGTGAGGTTTGATATAAGTGACTTTCTGGCTTGTTAGGACAGAGGGTCAACCTATGCATCCTCCACTAAAAACCACAAAACATGTGGGGAACTGACACTGTCATATAATAGGAACAATAAGAAGCCACATGAAAAACCCTTTTATGTGTTTTTATTTGCTTGTTCCTACAAAAAGGGAGGGCACCTCAAATTAATAATTAAACATATTTCTTAACTAGATGCTCTCACATTTTAAACTGGAATGGATTCAAGAATGGAGAGGGGTTCTGTGATATTTATGGGTAAAGAGGAAGCAAATTTTGTATAGATAAACCCAATATCTTTTTGTTAGTATAATTAAAATCTTAATCTAATTCAAGAATTATCATTAGTCTCAATCTAATTATTGCAAAAAAAGAGAAAATAATAATGCAGTTACTGTACTTATATACAGAAAAAATCACAACAGTAATATTATGGTTAAAATTGTTGCAGACACATGCACATGCATGGTCACATCTTAGTTTCTATTCCTTCCCCTGGAGGTTGCTCTTCTGGACATTTAGATCAGTAGTTTGAGGCTGCTGGAGGGAATAACACCCACAGTTATCAGGCACTGCCATCTTTGGCATGATGCTGATGGTTGTGGTTTCTTCTTCCTCTCCCCAGATCCACTTTGGGTCATTTTAATATGTTTGTTAACATGTTCCTTTTGACCTTGCCCTGACCTGCCTGTAGCCTTGTTTTGCTTGGCACAGCTGTGACAGCAGTTTCTTGAACTGGCTGCTTGTATCTTAATTGATTTATGAAAGGATGACTGTGGTGTTATGTAGAGAGCAGCAGCAAAGAGTTCCTGTAGGTGGGATGAGCTATTTAGTACCCTGAGACGATGACATAGTGCAGAGAAACACAGGCATGGTACAACAGCAGAGACCTTGTGAGGTGGAGGCACAGGGTGAAAGAGTGCAGGTGGGGCTGATAGGGGGATGACACAACACCAGTAAAGCAGGAGCCTAAAGCATGGTGCACAGTAGGAGCGAGTGCACCCTCAGGCAGTTCATTGACCTCGCTAAGCTGTGTGGTGCAGTCAAGACTGGAGGGAAAGGATGGCCATCCAGAGGCACCTTGACACTCTTGAGAGGTGAGCAAACCTCCTGAAGTTCAACCATGCAAAGTGCAAGATCCTACACACACCTATAAGCTAGGCAGAGAAGTAATTGTGAGCAGCACTGTGGAGGACTTGGGGTGATGGTTGATGAAAAACCCAGCATGAGCTGCAGTGTGTGCTTGCAGTCCAGGAAGCCAACCATGTCCCAGGCTGCATCAAAAAGAGTATGGGCAGCAGGTCGAAGGAGATGATTCTCCCCCTCTACTTTGCTCTCATGAGACCTCACCTAGAGTACTGCACACAGTTCTGGTGTCTCCAACATAAGAAGGACGTGGAACTGTCGGAGCATGTCCAGAGGAGGCCACAAAGTTGAGAAGAGGATTGAAGTATCTCCCCTATGAAGACAGGCTGAGGAAGTTAGGGCTGTTCAGCCTGGAGAAGAGAAGGTTGTATGGAGACCTCATAGCAACCTGCCAGGATCTGAAGGGGCTACATGGAAGCTGGAGAGGCATTCTTTGTTAGGAACTGCAGTGGTAGGACAAGTAATGGGTTCAAATTGAAAGAGGGGAAATGTAGGTTAGATATTAGGGAGATATTTTTTCCTGTGAGAGTGATGAAACACTGGCACAGGTTGCCCAGGGAGGATATGGATGCAGTGTTCAAAGCCAGGTTGGGGCAATCTGGGCTAGTGG